AACTCATTATATGAAGAAGTGGTTACAACTGGAGCTGAAACATTGGAGACCAACTCTTTATGTGAAGTGGTGCTCACAACTGGACCTGAAACATTAGAGACCAACTAATATGAAGTTGCGCTCACACCTGTAGCTGAAACATAAGAGACCAACAAAATATAGGAAGTTGCGCATCACACCTGTAGCTGAAACCTTGGAGACCAACTCATTATAGGAAGTGCTTACAACTGGAGCTGAAACATTGGAGGCCAACGTATCTGAAGTGGCGCGTCACACCTGTAGCTGAAACATTGGAGACCAACTCATTATAGGAAGTGGTGCTTACAACTGGAGCTGAAACATTAGAGACCCAACTCATTATATGAAGTGTTGCTTACAACTGGAGCTGAAACATTGGAGACCAACGTATCTGACGTGGCGTGTCACAACTGGAGATGAAACAATCGAGACTAACTCATGAAGTGTCACATCACAATCACAGCTGAAACATTAGAGACCAACTCATTATATGAAGTGTTGTGTCACAAATCGAGCTCAAACATTAGAGACCAACTCATCATATGAAGTGGTGCTCACAACTGGAGCTGAAACATTAGGGACCAACTCATTATATGAAGTGGCGCGTCACACCTGTAGCTGAAACATTAGATACCAAGTCATTATATTAAGTGGTGCATCGTAACTGGAGATGAAACAAAAGAGAACAACTCATTATATGAAGTGGTGCATCACAACTGCAGCTGAAAAACTAGAGACCAAATCATATGAAGTGGCGTGTCACAACCAGAGCTGAAACAAATGAGACCAACTTATTACATAAAGTGGGGCATCACAACTTGAGCTGAAAAACAAGAGACCAGGTCATATGAAGTGGCATATCACAACCGGAGCTGAGGCATAAGAGACCAACTCACTATACCAGGAAGTGGCGCTTCTTGAATTGATCTGAACCATTGAAAGACCAACTCATTATAATTGGATTTTGCGCAACATTAAAAGACTAAATCATTGTTAGTGGAGGTGGTACATTTCAATATAGACTATAGAGTCTTGATTTTGTTTTAACAATGATCCTTTGGTAGTGAGACCCAATTCGCTATAAACCTCTACAAAAGTTACTTGCCGGAACGGGTACACACCACAGAGGTCCATAACTCCAAATCTTTGCACCGGCGATTGTGCTAAATTAATGGTCAAACGGAGACAGGGTATCTCTTCATTTTAACCCGAAGCTTGGACCTTTTTAATATCTATCAGTATATGAGCTCTAGAGATCAGACTTCCAGACGACCTCAGCTGACACTACAACTGCCTTTCTACGGTAACTGGGGTATCATTGGGTGTGGACAGCACCCGCAACTCATTCTTACACTTCACCATGAATGCGGAAGGTTATACTTTCTCCACTACTCGGAACATTCGGACCAGCAAAATACACCCCTATATCTACTGACCACATTCTTCACAGAGAAAGTCCAGCATAGCATGGCTTTCTCAGAATGGAGCCCACATGACCACGGACAGTTGCAATGTGTAACCCATGTCCAGGCACCTTGGTCGTCTAGGTATAACTTAAAATTGTAGAAGGACATGCTTACATTCACTCAAAGTCACCGTCACTATGGAAACTATTTGGAGTTAAGGTAGCACCGAGTTTACACTGTATTATTGAAAAAATGATTCTGTCTGGAAAAATAATCTGCTTCGTCTAAGTGATGCGTCTCAACTGGAACAAAAATCATCAAAAAAAACCCAGCTCATATTGGTTGGAAGTGGCGCGTCACAACTGGATCTGAAAAATTTGGAGACCAAGTCCTTATATGAAGTGGTGCTCACAACTGGACCTGAAACATTAGAGGCCAACTAATGTGAAGTTGTGCTGACAACTGGAGCTGAAACATTAGAGACCAACTCATTATATGAAGTGGCGCATCACACCTGTAGCTGAAACATTAGAGACCAACTCATTATAGGAAGTGGCGCATCAAAACTGGATCTGAAACATTAGAGACTAACTCTTTATAGGAAGTGGCGCATCACACCTGTAGCTGAAACATTAGTGACCAACTCATTATAGGAAGGGGGGCTTACAACTGGAACTGAAACATTGGAGACCAACTCTTTAGGTGAAGTGGTGCTCACAACTGGACCTGAAACATTAGAGACCAACTAATGTGAACTGGTGCTCACAACTGGAGCTGAAACATTAGAGACCAACTAATGTGAACTGGTGCTCACAACTGGAGCTGAAACATTAGAGACAAACATATTATAGGAAGTGGTGCATCACAACTGGAGCTGAAACATTAGAAACCAACTCATTATATGAAGAAGTGGTTACAACTGGAGCTGAAACATTGGAGACCAACTAATATGAAGTTGTGCTCTCACCTGTAGCTGAAACATAAGAGACCAACAAAATATAGGAAGTTGCGCATCACACCTGTAGCTGAAACCTTGGAGACCAACTCATTATAGGAAGTGCTTACAACTGGAGCTGAAACATTGGAGGCCAACGTATCTGAAGTGGCGCGTCACACCTGTAGCTGAAACATTGGAGACCAACTCATTATAGGAAGTGGTGCTTACAACTGGAGCTGAAACATTAGAGACCCAACTCATTATATGAAGTGTTTCTTACAACTGGAGCTGAAACATTGGAGACCAACGTATCTGACGTGGCGTGTCACAACTGGAGATGAAACAATCGAGACTAACTCATGAAGTGTCACATCACAATCACAGCTGAAACATTAGAGACCAACTCATTATATGAAGTGTTGTGTCACAAATCGAGCTCAAACATTAGAGACCAACTCATCATATGAAGTGGTGCTTACAACTCTAGCTGAAACATTAGGGACCAACTCATTATATGAAGTGGCGCGTCACACCTGTAGCTGAAACATTAGATACCAAGTCATTATATTAAGTGGTGCATCGTAACTGGAGATGAAACAAAAGAGAACAACTCATTATATGAAGTGGTGCATCACAACTGCAGCTGAAAAACTAGAGACCAAATCAAATGAAGTGGCGTGTCACAACCGGAGCTGAAACAAATGAGACCAAATTAATCCATGAAGTGGTGCATCACAACTTGAGCTGAAAAACAAGAGACCAGGTCATATGAAGTGGCATATCACAACCGGAGCTGAAGCATAAGAGACCAACTCACTATACCAGGAAGTGGCGCTTCTCGAATTGATCTGAACCATTGAAAGACCAACTCATTATAATTGGATTTTGCGCAACATTAAAAGACTAAATCATTGTTAGTGGAGGTGGTACATTTCAATATAGACTATAGAGTCTTGATTTTGTTTTAACAATGATCCTTTGGTAGTGAGACCCAATTCGCTATAAACCTCTACAAAAGTTACTTGCCGGAACGGGTACACACCACAGAGGTCCATAACTCCAAATCTTTGCACCGGCGATTGTGCTAAATTAATGGTCAAACAGAGACAGGGTATCTCTTCATTTTAACCCGAAAGCTTGGAGCTTTTTAATATCTATCAGTATATGAGCTCTAGAGATCAGACTTCCAGACGACCTCAGCTGACACTACAACTGCCTTTCTACGGTAACTGGGGTATCATTGGGTGTGGACAGCACCCGCAACTCATTCTTACACTTCACCATGAATGCGGAAGGTTATACTTTCTCCACTACTCGGAACATTCGGACCAGCAAAATACACCCCTATATCTACTGACCACATTCTTCACAGAGAAAGTCCAGCATAGCATGGCTTTCTCAGAATGGAGCCCACATGACCACGGACAGTTGCAATGTGTAACCCATGTCCAGGCACCTTGGTCGTCTAGGTATAACTTAAAATTATAGAAGGACATGCTCACATTCACTCAAAGTCACCGTCACTTTGGAAACTATTTGGAGTTAAGGTAGCACCGAGTTTACACTGTATTATTGAAAAAATGATTCTGTCTGGAAAAATAATCTGCTTCGTCTAAGTGATGCGTCTCAACTGGAACAAAAATCATAAAAAAACCCAGGTCATACTGGTTGGAAGTGGCGCGTCACAACTGGATCTGAAAGATTTGGAGACCAAGTCCTTATATGAAGTTGTGCTGACAACTGGAGCTGAAACATTAGAGACCAACTCATTATATGAAGTGGCGCATCACAACTGGAGCTGAAACATTAGAAACCAACTCATTATATGAAGAAGTGGTTACAACTGGAGCTGAAACATTGGAGACCAACTAATATGAAGTTGTGCTCACACCTGTAGCTGAAACATAAGAGACCAACAAAATATAGGAAGTTGCGCATCACACCTGTAGCTGAAACCTTGGAGACCAACTCATTATAGGAAGTGCTTACAACTGGAGCTGAAACATTGGAGGCCAACGTATCTGAAGTGGGGCGTCACACCTGTAGCTGAAACCTTGGAGACCAACTCATTATAGGAAGTGCTTACAACTGGAGCTGAAACATTGGAGGCCAACGTATCTGAAGTGGCGCGTCACACCTGTAGCTGAAACATTGGAGACCAACTCATTATAGGAAGTGGTGCTTACAACTGGAGCTGAAACATTAGAGACCCAACTCATTATATGAAGTGTTGCTTACAAGTGGAGCTGAAACATTGGAGACCAACGTATCTGACGTGGCGAGTCACAACTGGAGATGAAACAATCGAGACTAACTCATGAAGTGTCACATCACAATCACAGCTGAAACATTAGAGACCAACTCATTATATGAAGTGTTGTGTCACAAATCGAGCTGAAACATTAGGGACCAACTCATTATATGAAGTGGCGCGTCACACCTGTAGCTGAAACATTAGATACCAAGTCATTATATTAAGTGGTGCATCGTAACTGGAGATGAAACAAAAGAGAACAACTCATTATATGAAGTGGTGCATCACAACTGCAGCTGAAAAACTAGAGACCAAATCAAATGAAGTGGCGTGTCACAACCGGAGCTGAAACAAATGAGACCAAATTAATCCATGAAGTGGTGCATCACAACTTGAGCTGAAAAACAAGAGACCAGGTCATATGAAGTGGCATATCACAACCGGAGCTGAAGCATAAGAGACCAACTCACTATACCAGGAAGTGGCGCTTCTCGAATTGATCTGAACCATTGAAAGAACAACTCATTATAATTGGATTTTGCGCAACATTAAAAGACTAAATCATTGTTAGTGGAGGTGGTACATTTCAATATAGACTATAGAGTCTTGATTTTGTTTTAACAATGATCCTTTGGTAGTGAGACCCAATTCGCTATAAACCTCTACAAAAGTTACTTGCCGGAACGGGTACACACCACAGAGGTCCATAACTCCAAATCTTTGCACCGGCGATTGTGCTAAATTAATGGTCAAACGGAGACAGCGTATCTCTTCATTTTAACCCGAAGCTTGGAGCTTTTTAATATCTATCAGTATATGAGCTCTAGAGATCAGACTTCCAGACGACCTCAGCTGACACTACAACTGCCTTTCTACGGTAACTGGGGTATCATTGGGTGTGGACAGCACCCGCAACTCATTCTTACACTTCACCATGAATGCGGAAGGTTATACTTTCTCCACTACTCGGAACATTCGGACCAGCAAAATACACCCCTATATCTACTGACCACATTCTTCACAGAGAAAGTCCAGCATAGCATGGCTTTCTCAGAATGGAGCCCACATGACCACGGACAGTTGCAATGTGTAACCCATGTCCAGGCACCTTGGTCGTCTAGGTATAACTTAAAATTATAGAAGGACATGCTTACATTCACTCAAAGTCACCGTCACTTTGGAAACTATTTGGAGTTAAGGTAGCACCGAGTTTACACCGTATTATTGAAAAAATGATTCTGTCTGGAAAAATAATCTGCTTCGTCTAAGTGATGCGTCTCAACTGGAACCAAAATCATAAAAAACCCCAGCTCATACCAGTTTTAAGTGGCGCGTCACAACTGGATCTGAAACATTGGAGACCAACTCTTTATATGAAGTGGTGCTCACAACTGGACCTGAAACATAAGAGGCCGAATAATATGAAATGGTGCTCACAACTGGAGCTGAAACATGAGACCAACTCATTATAGGAAATGGTTCATCACAATCGGAGCTGAAACATATGAGACCAACTCATTATATGAAATGAGGCGTCACAACTGGGGCTGAAACATTAGAAACCACGGACTAAATTTTCGAAGCGATCTTACATACGATTAATTTTAACAACTTACGTTCAAAGATAAGATATCTCAAGTTTAAGATCAGATACATTTTCGAAACTATCTTGAATATGTCGCAGATCGTATAAAGTTACGATTCCTTTCAAAGAACTCATTTGTGTTAGTGAAAAAGCGGGGTGTTGTGCAGTGATGTCATGGGTATGTCCCAGCTGCTGACAATAACAACAACAAAGAGAAGTGACACGAAATTCATAATCACATTGTCAGGTCACACTGTTTAACACGCAACTTTATGAGTGACAGTCCGTTCGGTGCTACATATGTCCAACGTGTAGACGTTTTGTTCTTATGATAAATGATACCATGACTACCCGAACACAAAAAGCATTCGTGTGACATACAAAGGGAGTGAGTGAATATGGTTTTACGCCGCTTTTAGCAATATTCCAGCAATATCACGGCCGGGGACACCAGAAATGGGCTTCACACATTGTACCCATGTCGGGAATCTACGCTGTTCTATGCAAAGGCATTTCTCAAACCCAATAAATGTTATAATCAATAAGTGTAGTGTTACCACATTGTAGTTATTAGAATTGAAATAATGTGCAAAAGAGACACTTCACTATTTTCCCTTCTAATGATACTCTCGCGAGAGAGCAGAGCTTTATGTAAACACATCGCGTACAAAGTCAAGGACCAAAGTAAGGGAGGTTATTCTAAATGACAATGAGACCTATGATCGAATAGGGTCAGCTTCACAATACTGCTTATTTTTGTGTTTATGTCAAAAGTCAAGTTAATAGAGAAATCACTAACATTATACCTTGAAACACTCAAAACAAATATTGTTCAGGAAGCAGCGCACCCACGAGCATGTTATAATGACAATGTAAGGTTCTTTCGTTATTTACGTATCCCATATATTTCACGAATAAACAAAGGACTCAAATACAATATCAAGCTATTTGTATTCAGATGATGTAATTTTTTTTAACCTATCTTGATCCATAATTCTTATCAAAATTTGAAAGTGACACTTTCGTTCACAACGGGAGATAATTTAGGAATTGTCAAGTTATGTTGTCTCATGGAAGACGCCACGAGTTCACGTAAACATACATATAATGTAGTCCTTTTCTATCCGTTTAAATTAAGTAGAGATAATAAACTGATTTGTCTGATTTGATTTAAATCTGGATGAGGAGCTAAATATCTACATTGTCAATGTGTAAAATCTATTCCACAACGTAGTTCGATGACGCTTGGCTTGTCTGAAAGCATTGCTGAGGGTCAATTAAAAGTATTTGTCTGGTGACCCTTTCCTTTTCAATGGTATTATTGTTTGAATGGTCTTAAGTATATATATTTTGTGAATATAAAACGGGTAAATGTACACTTAAATTTTAGAAAGACCAACATCAATTATTATTTTAATGCGAAATTCAAAGATTATTGTGGTGAAAATGTCTATTTTATATTGTTCAGTAAATTTCATTCAATACACATTTTCTGCGAAAATGTGTTGGAAAGTGAATTTTTGACAATGTTCAAAATATGTTACTTCTTAACTTTTGCTCTCAAAATATCAATAATTTGCTATATTTAATGGAACACATCTATGTCGTTAATCACCTGTTTTTAAAGAATGCAATTATTCAATGGACAATATTTAATCACTTGTCAAATATTTGTCTTACAGTAATATAGATAATCTAGGTGTTGCTTTGAAAACGAAACCAAATACAATTACTTTTCCTGGAAAAACATGAAATATACTCTTTATATAAATACACCATACGCATATTTGATCACATGCACTTCCTTGTTAAATCAATAAGACTAGCTGCCCCTGAGTTATCAATAAGGTCACGGTCATTACTATAGAGCCTGCCGACACCTTCCGTTTTAATCCTTCCCAAATTATCCAAAGGATATGTTGTTTCACACTTCTTCAGCATGGACTCGGATAGAAATATATTGTAAGCTACCAACTCCATAGTTATGTGGATCGCTGTCGCGATTAAGATTTCTAACGTGATCTTCGATGCGTTCTTCGTGTATTTTCGAAGTGTCAATTTGAATCACACAGTTTAGCAAAATGAAATGTCAATCTTTGAACGTAAAGCAGATTATTTGTTTGAAAAATATCTATGCCAAAGTATGCCGCCATCTTGGATGAAGATAACATAAACTTACGACAGGTATTGGGCTATCTGATTAACGACAATCTTACGATGTCTTTGGGCTACGATAGTTTCGAAAATAGGCTACGACAGCCCACGATAACTTTATGATAACTTTACGATAATTTTAGGTCTACGATCGTTTCGCAAAAAAACTAGCTCATTATTATAGAAGTAATGCGTCTTAGCTGGAGCTAAAAAAGATACACTCATCTTAATAAAAAATGGGGCGCCTCAACTGATACTGACACATTATAAGACCAATTCATTTCAATAACCATAAAATTGAAAACGACAATGTCTGTATCTACATTGTCTAAGGGATCTAGATGAATCTCAACTTGAGCTAAAACACTTAAAGTACAACTCATCTTAATAGGAAATGGCGCATCTAAAACGGAACTAATACATTATTGTTCAATTTACAATTTACAATTATACGTTATTGTAGGAAGTGGGATGTCCAAAATGAAGCTAAAAAATACGAGACGAACTGATCATGTTAGGGTTTCACGCATCTGAGCTGGAGCCAAAACATTAAAAGACGCACTCATTATGATTCATTCATTCACATTATTTCATGGTATTAATTGGCCGTAGCAAGTACTATCAGCGACAGCGACAGCAACATCCCGGCATCTACATCAGCACAACGTCGGGCTCGCCTTCAGCTTTCAACCTCCACCTCTATAGTCTCCATCTGAAGCCTCCGACCCTACCACAATCCAACAAAGTCCTGCCCCCATTCTTCTTCAAATAAATAAAAACGACAATATACCCTTACCACATTCAATAGAAATCTCTGCTAAAAGCAGAGTCGATTGTACGATTCTGACTTATTCATGGGCATGTGTTTATGAATCACTCGAGAATAGTGATGATACCAGGTGTTCGAGAAAAGGTGAGCGTATCCTGCACCACCGGTGACACACGTCACAAACACATGCAAAGGCAAGTTAATTGTTCACCTGAAACAACACGGGAACATACCCCACGCAGCCACCATACCCGCCGCCATTGCTGGCGCCAGTCGGGCCCCGACGTTCATTGTTCATTCAGTCTGGACCACACTCTATGAAGGTTCATACTTCAGTGAACTCACACAAAGTGAAAGTCCATTCTTAAGTAATCCCTAAAGGTAGCCCTGAGGGCAAGAACTGGAACCTTACTCAACACATAACTTTTATTATCTGACCTATTATCTACCTCCGCTTACTCGAGAACTCTTAAACTTAGCAAGAGGATCAGAACATTAATATAAAATAGCATCTAATTTCAAAATTTATATTCCAAATTGTAAATCTATATGGACATAAATCCCTTCACACTAAAAGTATCACTAAATGGCACAGTATTTTCTAACTCGACCCATTTAGACAAAATAAGTTCAAGAATTCACAGAGCCATTGCAGATCTAAACTCTGCAACTGAACACCACAGTGATCAGTGTACACACTGCAAAAAAACTGATGACCTTGACAACTGATCTTTATATCACTATCAATAACAAACTTCTGTTCGAGCTCCATACATCAAAATATAAAAACAATCTAGCTTTACTCTTGAGGCCATTTAATGCATCGACAGTATTCTCGGCAATTTCAAATTTCATTATAATATACAGCAAATATTTTAGATTAATCTTTAACAAAACGAAATTCCAAACAAACCAATTGCCATATATATTGAATCTAAATTCTTTTTTTTTTTATAAATCTTTGTATGCTTGTAGATGTCGGTCAATGGGTGCAGGAGTTTAGCAAAGTCTCACCTTGAGAAGATTTGTTGATACAAATTCCGGAGGAAAAAGTGACACCTAATCTTACCCCTCCCTATTTAGACACTGGTGCTAAGTTTGCGTTGCTTACAGCGGACCAAACAACTATACCCTCGTCGGAGTAAGACTGCTTAATCGATGGAGCTAAACTCGTTTTTATTGCAATTATTGCTAAGTTTAATTGATATTAAACCAACAGTTTGCAGGTTTCACAAGGAAAACAGCATGTATTGGTGTTAGTACACCTTTCATAGCGGAGCTGGACAAGACAGAGCTGCAATGAATGGTTAAAACGGTCATTTCGCAGCAAATCCTCTGTGTGTATGCATATGTTGTTGGCCAATGTGTGGAGGCGTTGGACAAAATTCTCCTTGTGAAAATTTATTGAAAAAATTACTTCGGTGTGTGTAAAGTGTGCACGCGCGGGTTCGAATCCCGACATGGGTACAATGTGTGAAGCCCATTTCTGGAGTCCCCCGCCGTTATATTGCTGGAATATTGCTAAAAGCGGTGTAAAAACATATATATTAATTCATTCATTGATTCATTCATTATCTAAACAAGATTCATCAGAAAGATGATATATCCCCCCGCCAGCTGTCTGTAAAGTAACCACAAGTAAATGTGCTATTCTGTATGTAATGAGTCAAGAGTTTAATGTTCTTGAAGAAGCATACATTGTTTACCAACAAAAGATCCACCATGGTGGCATCCATATGAAATGGAAAATAAAATAAGTGTGTCTTCTGTTGTTTTTTTTATGCAAACAAATGACAAATTACAAGAAACAATAACTGAACAAGTGTATAGTCACCGAAGTCATCTATATCCCCCGCCCATTTTAACACGTTATGGTCCCAAACCAGGTAACTGACCCAACATTTCTCATAGCCCATGTCAAAATAGTTGCAATGGAAATTCTAAAATAATCATTTCTAAAACTCCTTAATATCAAATGGCACCTGTTCAGTATGTGCTTTATATATAGACATGCAATGTTTGGCAAGGAAATATTTAACAGTTTATTTGTTATACTCCATAATTGAAACCACCCTATATTAAAACTTAAATCCAACTTGTTGCCGGCCATGGAAACCAGTAAAAGGCACCAGTTCAGTATGTGCCTGGTAGACATGCAAAGTTTTGTAAGAAAGTATTTAACAGTTTTTGAGTTACGCTCCGGGAACGAACACCACCCTTACAGAACCTAAGTCCAACTTGTTGCTATGGAAACGTAAAAAATAAAAATGTCTAAAATTCCTAAAAAGCAAAAGGTACCAGTTCAGCATGAGTCTGATAGACATGCAAAGTTTTGTTAGAAAGTTTTGAATGGGTTTTGAGTTATGCTCCGGAAACGAACACCACCCTTATAGAACCTAAGTCCAACTTGTTACCATGGAAACGTTAAAAAATAAAAATGTATAAAATTCCTAAATAGCAAAAGGCACCAGTTCAGTATGTGCCTGGTAGACATGCAAAGTTTTGTAAGAAAGTATTTAACGGTTTTTGAGTTACGTTCCGGAAACGAACACCACCCTTACAGAACCTAAGTCCAACTTGTTGCGATGGAAACGTAAAAAATATAAATTTCTAAAATTTCTAAATAGCAAAAGGTACAACTTCAGTATGCGACTGATAGATTTGCAAAGTTTCGATCAAATACACTGAATTGTTTTCGCGTTCTGCCTCGGAAAAGGAAATGATTACGGACGGACAGACGGAAGGGCGGACAGACAGACAGACTGGCTGATCGCTATATCCCCCCGCATTATATGCCGGGGGATAAAAATACTGCAAAATAATATACCACTTGTTCGTATACGGGTGGAGTTTAGAAATGGTATATTACCACTGCATAATTGTGTTGAGGAAGCCGTTATGACGGCAACAAAACTGTTTTCTCTAGTTTACATCACTGGTGTGGTATGGGGAAACCATGTTAAAACTATCGCTACTGTTACTAAACAGAGACAGAGAAACGCTGTTACCGACCTGGTGCCCTGGTGCTGTTTGTATCGAATATAACATTACATCATCTGCGAATCGTTACAGCCACAGCGATTATTCCTTTACATAATTATTTGTTCACCAACAGATTGTATAATTACATATTGCTGCACTTACCATGTCGTTTTGTTCAGCGTCCTCTCCACAGTGAAAACATACGACAGGGCAGGAAATCAAACTGAAAAATGTTTCTTCGTGAAAGGTCTTCATAATGCACATGACACACCAAAGTTGTAAACGCAGCGTTCAAAGTAACGCGTGAATAATATAAACATGTGAAATAGGGGTCTATGCCCATTGTAATCTCGATTTAAAATGAATTCTAAACAACTTGTTGAAATTAATTTAACATGCACCGGTGCATTTGATAAAGTGAGCGTCGTCTGCTTCGATCCAAGGAGTCTGGATTACGCGCAGGAAAAACTCGTGCAACGGAAGTGTTTCCGGATTGGCTTAACTCGTAACCTTGACATCACGTGACTATTCTGGTGAACACCTGCATGAAATATACAACACTTCTAACCGATTTGACATTTGTTTATATAAATAATCTTAACCGACAAAGCCATTGGCGGTGGGGTTTGTCTAGCGAGGTTAAAGCGTTGACTCGTCTCATCAATTCACAACATTGGTACACCATGTAGAGCCGATTTTGACGCCCCTCTCCGTAATATGGCTTGGATTTTGTTCCAAATTTCGCTATTATTTCGTAATAATAAATGGTATTTTTTAGCGGTATTCATCATAATAGAATGGAGATGTAATACAGTGGATGGTCGAACATGAGTTGCCAAGCCCCTTAACATTTTAATGCATTTTAATCATAATGATGATTATGAAAAGAAAATTATCAAAGAATTATGAACACTATATATAGAGTACCAGACGACTAAAAACGTATTTACTGAGGGTCAAAGGACAGTATACCGAGTTGTCTTTTTATGTAATGGAAAATTATTGAAAGAACTGTTGTTAAATTTGATTATAGCTATTTAACCATCACTCATTCCTGCAACAGTTGGGGTTGCGGTCGGTAGCCAAGTGGTTAAGCGTTCGCTCGTCATGCCGTAGACCCGGGTTCGATTCCCGACATGGGTACAATGTGTGAAGCCCATTTATATTGGTATTGCTAGAATATTGCTTAAAGCGGCGTAAAGCCATACTCACTCACTCCTGCAGCAGTTTGTGAAAGGTAATCTGTGGCTGAATATATTTTTTGTAAAAATATAGTTTCGATGAAGACTAGGGTAGGAAATGAACTTGCAACCACATGACCCCTAACATGTTTGACATGTTTTTTAATTTATGCCGAAAAGAGCAAATTTATTGGTTTTCAAGATAAGATATCAATAATAACCATCAACGAAATTCATATAGTCGGTCGCCTAGAATTTACATATTGTGAGCCAATTTAAAGGAGAGGAAAATGGGGGGGGGGGGGGGGGGGGGGCATACTTTCCGTAAAAGGCGACTATGCTTGTCGTAAGAGGCGACTAACGGGATCGGGTGGTCAGGCTCGCTGACTTGGTCGGTGCGTGTCATCGAACCCAATTGCGTGGATCGATGCTCATGCATGATGTCCATCACTGGACTGTCTGGTCAAGTCTCGATTATTTACAGACCGCCGTCATATAACTGGAATATTGCTGAGTACGGCGTTAAACAACAAACCAACCAACCAACCAACCAACCAATGGTGTGGATCGATGCTCATGATGTTAATCACTGGATTGTCTGGTCCAGTTTCGATTATTGACATACCGCCTTCATTTAGCTGGAAACCGGGTTAGAATAGGTCTTCGGCAACCCATGCTTGTCGTAAGAGGTGAATAACGGGATCGGGTGGTCACTGGTCAGGCTCGGTGACTTGGCTGATGCATGTCATCGTATCCCAATTGCGTAGATCGATGTTCATTATGTCAATCATGCATGGATTGTCTGGTCCACACTCGATAATTTACAGACCGCCGTCATATAGCTGAGATACTGCTGAGTGCGGCGTTAAACAACAAACAATCTTTATCACATTCAGGGGCATGGATGGCCCAGTCATCTAAGGCGCCGCAATTAGCTGTGCAGAATTCCTTAGGCATGCCAGAAACCTATGATCGTTGGTTCGAATCCCGGTTCGCAACGATTATGTTTCGATGTTTCTCAACGCCCTGCTAGTTGGTTTACCAATGTGGTAAATGTATGAGACCTGCATCACTTTGGGTTTTCATCCCCCACTAAGCTGACACGCCGTGATATGACCGTAATACTGTTCAAGTAGCGTTAAAACCAACTCCCTTACTTAACTGGCATATGCAATGTTGTCAGTTAGTCGACCTGAATATTCCTGAATACATCGTTAAATAACAAACAAACAAACAAACCCACATGGGTATATTGTATGAAGCCCATTTCTGCTGTCGGGCGCCGTGATATTGCTGGAATATTGCTAAAAGCGGCGTAAAACCGAATTCACTCAGACATTATGGCGAAAAGGGGAAACAAGCTGGAGTTACGGAAAGGAGCTAAGATTAATTATCCGTTTTACAAAGATATATGCAAATATACTGCGACATGCACAAAGTTATGTAGCTCACCTTTTTCTTTCTGGGATATTTTCAAAATAATAAAACTATTTATAAACAATATTACCACGATAATGTCAAACCTATTAACATAATTTTCAATACAACAAAACAACATGCATATCCCAGAGAAACCCTCACTGGCATGATAAGCAAAACTCTGAGGTCACGATGATGCATTAATAAATGAGTTATAAAAAATCTTAATTAAGTAATAGTAAATAATATCATGTTATGGTTTACATGGCAACGATGTTTAGACTCGGATCAGAATTCTGGTATCCAAATTTGTAGAGACACCAGGGTTTTACCGGGGGCAAAATATTGCGCCCCGTACGCATAACAATTATGAATGGACGCAAATAATATCCATTGGACACACAGGGATATGGATGCTGGGATGATTAAATTAAAAATATAAGTTTGATTTGTATACTTCTGTATCAATGTTCGATCATTTCATGTCGGATTTCTTTACTCAGTCATTAAATTCCGTTTCAAACAAGAAAATCCCTTTCCGAAACAATCAAAAGGCCTCACACATAATTTGTATATTTTTTTGCCTTTTGGTACAGTGGTCATTTAGCTGTTACCCGAATATATGCCCGGGGCTCCCCAAATTCAATACCGAGTCCCCAGGAATCACAATTACACAGGCTTCGGTAAATCCCTGCGACACCATTGCTGGGATGATCGATCAAAGTCACTGTCTTCATGCAGTAAACGTCCATCACGTAAGAGTATTGCTTCAAATGGATGTCCGTTCCCGTGTTTTTTCAGGTGAACAATTAACTTGCCTTTGCGTGTGTTTGTTACGGGTGCTACCGGCGGGGCAGGATTCTATCACCTTTTCACGAACACCTGGTATCATTACTATTTGATAGTGATTCATGAACATATGATCATGATATAGTCGGAATCGTACATCTGCTTTTAGCAGAGATTTCTTATGAATATGGAAAGGGTTTTGTCGCTTTTAGCTATTATAGATACGTAAAAGCTAAAAGACGTTTACAGATAGATTGTTCTGTGATGTTGGTCTTACAATTGATCCAGTCAAGAATTTCTTGTTCCGCTTCATGTTTCCGTTTGCAAGCGAAACAATCGCTGGCTAAGGTCGCTTCCTTCTCAAACCAAAATGGCGACTGGCTTTGACAGCGGAACAGGAAATTCTTGACTAGATCAACGAGGAAATGAGCAAAGCCAGCTAACACCCCATCATCCTCATTCTGCTCCACATCTTCAAAGTAGTCATAAATTTCATCAGCTCGTCATCGAGCCTCTTCTATTATGTTCTTCATAACGTCAAGGAAATCAACCGTAGTTGAGCCGCCATTTTGGAAGGGTGTGCAAGCGCTTCGAACTGTTGCAGGCCCCGGGATGAGCGCTTAATTTGCTTCTCTAAGCGATTCGTGGCTTGCAGCGCGGCCCTGGCAAAGCTTGCTTAGTTTCTTAGGGAAGCCCATAGCACCTCATGTTAGCTTACCAAGTTGCCGGGCTTATATATGCTTTCAATGCCATTGGGTTGAAGTTGGGCTTTGGCTTTGGGTTGAAGTTGGGCTTTGGCTTTGGATTGAAGTTGGGCGTTGAAGTTGGGTTGAAGTTGGGCTTTGGCTTTGGGTTGAAGTTGGGCTTTGGCTTTGGGTTGAAGTTGGGCGTTGAAGTTGGGTTGAAGTTGGACTTTGGCTTTGGGTTGAAGTGGGGCTTTGGCTTTGGGTTGAAGTTGGGCTTCGGCTTTGGGTTGAAGTTGGGCTTTGGCTTTGGGTTGATGTTGGGCTTTAGCTTTGGGTTGAAGTTGGGCTTTGGCTTTGGGTTGAAGTTGGGCTTTGGCTTTGGGTTGAAGTTGGGCTTTGGCTTTGGGTTGAAGTTTGACTTTGGCTTTGGGTTGAAGTTGGGCTTTGGCTTTGGGTTGAAGTTGGGCTTTGTCTTTGGGTTGATGTTGGGCTTTGGCTTTGGGTTGAAGTTGGGCTTTGTCTTTGGGTTGATGTTGGGGTTGGCTTTGGGTTGAAGTTGGACTTTGGCTTTGGGTTGTATTGGGCTTGGGTATACCTGTTCGTTGTTGTCTCTTTTGTTTTAGGCGCCTTGTTTAGATTGTGTCACTTTTCTTTGAAATTGTTCACAGCTTGAGAATAAAATAAAACCCGAAATGGGCAAGCCTTGGAATTTTTCCACTTTTATCAACTCGTGTTGATATATTTGATATCAAAAGACACTCGGGTGAGATTCTCTATGTAGATAAATACCGTCGCGGTTGTGCGTGCTTTTTCGTCAGTCATGGCGTTACGCCCCACCTCGACAATGTCTTTTCAATTTACCAACTCAATGTAATGTATTTATTTAATACCCTTCTACGATGTTCGTCCAGTAGATATTCTCATTAACGTGATGCTTAGTAATGCATGCTTCAGACGAACGGATCTCTCAAAATGGAAGAAAATGCTGCACAATGTAAAATCTGCATTTGGCTGTACGGTTTTCCGGGCACAGCCTTTGTTTTCATACCTGATGTATTTCGCTTGATTTTATCTACACCCGTTGTACTAGTGACAAAGTCAGTTTGACATCTGATTCTGAAATGTAGGAGGAAATAGTTGGGATGTAATAGGTGTCTGGCTTTCCTCCGAGTAAAGCTGACACGCCGTGATATAACAGGAATATACTGTTAAAAGCGGCGTTAAACCCAACCAATTCACTCACTCACAAAAATATAAGTGTTTGCTGATGTGACGCGTTCTCGGATTCTCAGATATTCTGGGGGCGGTCGGGTAGCTTAGTGGTTAAAGCGTTCGCTCGTCACGCCGAAGACCCGGGTTTGATTCCCGACATGGGTACAATGTGTGAAGCCCATTTCTGGTGTCCCCAGCTGTGATATTGCTGGAATATTGCTAAAAGCAGCGTAAAACCATACTCACTCACTCACTCAGATATTCTGATTTGAAAATGAAGGGCCTCGTAGATCTAAGGCCTGCCGCAGTACATTCCTGTTGTGAATGGCGATTTAGACAAAAGCGATATTTAGGATGTACCTAACTTTCAGTGAACTTCAGTGAAAAGAAAGTACGTAGAGTGACATCAGGTGATACCAAAGAACATACATTTTCCCGAAGATTTCACAAGTGTGTAGATTCTCTTCTGTGTATGCGATGTAATTTGAGTTTTATGCAGTATTTCCGCGAGGTAACACAGGTTTATCATCCAAAACTGGCTCTCACAGGAGATATCGCTTGGGTGAGATCAAGCGATATCTACACTGTAGATATCGCTGCAATGAAATTGCATCACAATGCTTTGCAGACCATTGTGACATCATTGGTTACCATGACGTCACAATCAAATGACATCACTAATGGCTCTGCTACTGAAGCTGTTAGCAGTACTTTTAACACTTAGACACTGTTTATTACTGTCTACAAACTGAAAAAGTTGGAAGAATGATGTTGGATGATAAATAAAATCTCACCCTCGTGTCTTTTGATATCAAATATATCAACACTCGTTGATAAAAGTGGAAAAAAATCCTCGGCAAGCCTCGGAGTTTTCCCACTTTTATTAACTCTTGTTGATATATTTGATATCAAAAGACACGAGGGTGAGATTCTCTATTTCACATTTGCCCTTCCAGCTTACAGTTCACTATAACTGTTTATTGTGAGGGATAATAATTTTATAACTGCCACTGAATGCCATGTTTAGTGTCGTCAAGCTTACGACACATCGGCCACCACCTGTCTTGGTGAACAAAGCATCGCGGTGTGGAGCTTGCTACATGTAGTTCAACTGCGCGTTGCGCCGAGTAGAGACAGAGCCTAGTATATCCAGCGTGTGTTTGTTGTTATATAGTCTGCCATGTCTTTCACCAAGGGATTTTTGTCGGGAACAGTTGCATCAGTCACTTGTTGTGCGTTGTACTCGTTGTTAGATGTCACGCCGAGAAAGTCTGATGTTCTCGAGTCTGTGGACCATGCCTTACTGGGTATGCATGCCTTTTTTATAACCGGGAGCCGCGATGGGGTCCGAATTGAGTCGTGCCTTGACCCATTGCGGCTTTCGGCCTTTTTTACGGCGTATGATCACGCGCTCCCACCGACTAAGACTTCGTTGACGCTGATTTTTTGTAACATCTTTCCGTAACACCCCCTCCCTATCTCCCAATATTAATTAGGAAGTGCCTTAAAAAATAGAACTGATGCAGCCCCCCCCCCCCCCCCCCCCCCCCCACAAAAAAAATAATTTGCCGTCACTCTTCATGAATACCCCTCCCTCAAAGGTGCCACAAATCTCCGTGCAGAGTTAACATCTCTTAGTCGTGCCAGAAACCTATAATGATGGGATGGAATCCCCGATCACAGCAATTAAAGTATCTACGTTTGTCATCACCAACTATTTCACCAAAGTGGTAAAGGTCTAAGACCTGCATCACTTGGGGCATTCCCCCTACATCAGGATGTAACCCACTCCTATTACTGAGATACAGGTGTAGAATAGGTCTTCAGCAACCCATGCTTGCCGAAAAAGGCGACTATGCTTATCGGAAAAGGCGACTAACAGGATCAGGTGACTTGGTTGATGCCTGTCATGGATCGATGTTCATGATGTCAATCCCTGATATTAACGCGAGCATGAACTAAATGTGAAAAATGCGAGTGGTCTTTGCTCGCATTATTAAACATCGCATTTATATCAACAATAAGACATTTTTGATAGCAGAAATACCAACTTAGACATACGCTGAAAACAAACAACTATGTATTCCACATCACTGTTTATTCTGCAGCACTTGTAGTAAAAAATGTTACAAGTATATAAACAATGTCATTCAAACACTTATTACATCCTGTGAATTGTCACTGCTGGGGTCAAGACAAGCGTTCTACTCACTCATATCATCACTGATCACAACTGCAAGTCCAGACAGACACCACCCAACACAGTGTCTTTGCACTTTGCGACTGCGTCAAAGGCCGACACGAGCCAGCGTGCACGTATTGTTTTAGCTGAAGTACTCTACTCAGCGCTAATAAGCGGTGCTATTTGGTGTGTGATTGGATTAATGTAAGGTTGGATTAAGGTGAGGATTCTCCAGTAAGCCTGACAGAGGACATTTTGTTTAGATATAAATCCACTGATGCTTGAGAGGAGGGGGTGTCGCATTCATATTGAATCGCATTTTTGGCTAGGGGCCAGCGGTGGCATTCTTTTGGAGACGCATTAATTTCACGTTTTACAGTAACAACAAAACAAACAAAACTGAGATGCCATCCTACCTGTTAAATTTGACTCACTCGCTGAGTCAGATGTTTTGGAAGCTTACCAGTGACCAGCTGATTCCTTCAAAATGGACCATTTTTACTCAAAGCAAACCAGTGAATGTCAGGCTTTACATATAATATGATGTGTCAGTTTATTCAATGTATTAAAATAAAACAGAATAACCATGTTAACTGCATGCTAAAACAACAGACATTATTGCTGTGTACATTTGGTCATACCTGTTAAGATGTTCGCTTGTCAAAAAATAATTCCAAATTTTGTGCATCTGCTGAATTCATTGAAAATGGCACTAGCCAGCCAGGACACCATCATAAGCTATATATCTCATCCCCATTATCCCTCATCTCATTACTGTCAAGCCATTGAGAGTTATGTCCCTTGGCCAGTTTCAGAACTGAAGTATGGTTCAATGTTGTTAAACCCTACACACTCTCTTGCAGAGGATGTGGCCAAACTGGAGAAGACTCGGGAGATATTGAAGTACGGTATTCCAGACAGAGGGCCAGCCATCCGTTCCTATAGCGACCATGTGCTAGCATACGACCAGGCCAGGAAGATTCCTGTATGGGTTGCAGAGCATCTCCACCGAGGGAAACTGACAGGTGGGTCATGTGATGACATATGGTAGTGCAGCAGGTACTGTACAAGTGAAATTAACACGAGCGTGAATAAAATGCGAGTGGTCTTTGCTCGCATTATTAAACATCGCATTTATATCAACAATAAGACATTTTGGATAGCAGAAATACCAACTTAGACATATGCTGAAAACAAACAACTATGTATTCCACATCACTGCTTATTGAGCAGCACTTGTAACAAGTACATAAACAATGTCATTCAAACACTAATTACATCCTGTGAATTGATACTGCTGGGGTCAAGACAAGAGTTCTACTCACTTATGTCATCACTGATCACACCTGCAAGTCCAGACAGACGCCACGATTATTTACAGACCGCCGTCATATAGCTGGAATATTGCTGAGTGCGGCGTTAAACAACAAACAAACCAACCAACCAACCAACGAATTGGGGGGTGGGCTGTAAACGGTGAGATGGTTTGCTTTTCTCAACCAGCCAGAGTAAGGGTGGCAGTGGCCTCAGCAGATCAAATATTGACCTTTTGATGTAGTCCACCAGTAGAATACCTAGTCCCTTTAATGCCTGGAGAAATATGCTGCCTGGTTGTGGCTTTGGTTCAGTTGCAGCCTGTAAGCATGGAGAGTGTTGTACGTAGTACATGCAAACAGTTGATGGTGTACTAGACATCCTTTGTAGTTTGGCTCAGAACTTTTTAGCCAGCCCTCGTACAATATGGCAACATTGGGCTTTCCTCCCACATCAAGCTTATAAAACTGAAATACTATTTAATGCGACGTTAAACCAAACCCATTCACTCGATGCTCATGATGTCGATCACTGGATTTTCTGGTCCAGTCTTGATTATTTACAGACCGCCATCATATAGCTGGAATATTGTTCAGTGCCACTTCAAACAATGTTCACTTGCTCGCTCACTCACTCACTCACTCACTCACTCCATGCCAGGTTCAGCCAATCGGAAGAAGTCCCGGTTTCTGCCCGACCTGGACTTAGAGAGCAGGTTTTCCGCCACCAACGATGACTTCTGGCACAGTGGCTGGTCCCGCGGTCACATGGCACCTGCCGGCAATTATAAGTATGACCAGGTAAGACTCCATGTTTGCTCATAAAGTACAGTAAAAACTTTATAATCTTTTATCATTTTGTCTTTCTTCCTAAAAGGGACCGCCTCTGTGGTCTAGTGGTAGAGCATCCGCCCAGAGAGCGAAAGGTTCGGGCTTCGATCCCCGGCCGCGTCATACCTAAAGACGTTAAAAGATGGTACTTGTTGTTACCCTGTCTGGGGCTTGGCATTAAGGGGCTAAAACAAGGACTGGTCGGCTCGTAGTCAGTATACTGTGTCTGAGTGGGGTATTCATGTTAAACTGCGGCATGGTATCTCAGTGGTCTAGCACTATAAATCGGCATCAGTCCGGACTAGTACAAGTAGCCACAAACACACGTGCATGCACGTCACTATATAAGTGCAATAATCTTGGACGCGACGTTAAACCCCATTTCACCTCACCTCATCTCTTCCCAAAAGACGACTGAAATGACTAAAATGTTCCTGTGGAGTTTCCCACAACTACCCACATCCAACCCTATAGCAGGAGGCAAAGGGAATATCGTAAGGTCACGCAATCATAAACCTCCAAATTGTTTAACCTTCTCGGGGGGCTTTCGGGTAGCCTAGTGGTTAAAGCGTTCGCTCTTCATGTCTAAGACCCTGGTTCGATTCCTGACATGGGTACAATGTGTGAAGCCCATTTCTGGTGTCCCCCCCCCCCCCCGCTGTGATATTGCTGGAATATTGCTATAAGCGGCGTAAAATCTCACTCACTCAACCGTCTCAGGTCGGATTTAAGCCTGAAAAGTTCAAATTCAAGATGGTTGCCTGGCCATCTTCATTTTCTAAATTCAAAAACTTATGAGAATGTAGATCTTAACTGTCAAGACATCCTTCCTTTGAAACATGGCGTCCATAAGTTGTTATGGAAAAACAAAAATGGCTGTCTTGAAGCTTGGTAAATGCCACCCTGGGCTGGATATATAATTTAAGCAGTTTCAATAGATACGAAAGTTTGCCCACTTCATTTTCTGGAGATTCATAAGACCCTTTTCCGTTTCCTCTGATTTATTCTGTGTTTATAAAAGGTGGGTGCATGGGTGGCCCAGTCGCCTGTGCAGAGTTGCATCCCTTGAGCACACCAGGAACCTATGATTGTGGGTTTGAATGCCCCTTTGCTCTGACTATGTTTCTAGGTTTGTATGGGTACAATGTGTGAAGCCCATTTCTGGTTTCCCCGCCGTGATAGCTAAAAACGACGTGAAACCACTCTCACTCACTCACTCACTCACTCACGCTTAGCAATATTCCAGTTATATGATGGCGGTCTGTAAATAATGGAATCTGGACCAGACAATCCAGTGATTTGCAGTTGGGATACGATGACATGCATCAACCAAGTCGGCGAGTGTTAAGTTAGTTCATCTGAACTGATTGCAAAAACCTTCAATTTTTCATGAATTAATCTGAAATATTTTGAAATTTTGACCATGTTTGATAACATGATCTCTGGTGACCTTGACCTTAGAGGAGGTCACCCAAGATGGGTGTGTCTGCTTGTACTTGTCCTGACTAATGCTGGTTTTACTATACTAGCTAGCCCACTGAGATACGACCACTGGACGTACCAGTGATTAAATTCATTAGCATCGATCCACGCAATTGGGATACGATGACATGCATCAACCAAGTCAGCGAGCCTGACCACCTGATCCCGTTGGTCGCCTTTAATGACAAGCATGGGTTTGCTGAAGACCAATTCCAACCCGCATGTTCGGTGGTAGTTTTTCCTTGAAGATTCTGTCGCTGTCTGTTGAATGATGCTCCTGCTGGTGGCGCCAAGTGTGGTAGTAAGTGTCCAGATCTCAAAGTGCATCAGACCCGTGAAAATTCCGGGGTAGAATAGGTCTTCAGCAACCCATGCTTGCCGTAAAAGGTGACTATGCTTGTCGTAAAAGGCGACAAACGGGATTGGGTGGTCAGGCTTGCTGACTTGGTTGATGCATGTCATAGATCCCAATTGCGTGGATCGATGCTCATGATGTCAATCACTGGATTGTCTGGTCCAGACTTGATTATTTACAGACCGCAGTCATATAGCTGGAATATTGCTGAGTGCGGCGTTAAACAACAAACCAACCAACCAAATCAAAGTGCATCATGTTTTGTGTGATGTGTATTTGTATCTGCCCTACAGCGGTCCATGAGTGACACGTTCTACCTGACCAACATCCTGCCCCAAGACATAGATAACAATAGTGGCTTCTGGAATAGATTTGAGATGTACTGTCGCGACCTCACCAAGAAATTCAAGGACGTGCGTGTCATCAGTGGGCCTGTGACCTTGCCAGAGGTTGCGGAGGATGGAAAACTGTATGTGACCTATGAAGTAAGTGGTCGTTACTATTGTTGTGACCTTTCAGTTATGTTCTACACACAAAAGATGTTTGTTTGTTTGTTGTTTTATGCCGCACTTGGCAATATTGCAGGTATATGACGGCAGTCTGTAAATAATCGAGTCTGGACCAGACAATCCAGTGATTGATATCACGAGCATCAATCCACACGATTGGGATCGATGACATGCTTCAACCAAGTCAGTGAGCCTGACCACCCGATCCTGTTAGTTGCCTCTTATGACAAGCATAGTCGCTTTTTACAAACAAAAGAGTATCTCTGTTTCAAACTTAAGCTTTTCTCAGTTTTAGCATGTGCATTGATTTAACTGACATTTCTCAGAGCTACAGAAAATCTTCGTATTTTCGTAAAATACCCCCCAAAACTATTCAAAATCCAATTACTTTCAATTTACTTGCGTACAGAAACGCATGCATTAAAAGAAAAACTCAATTGTTCGAAAACAGCACGCATAAATACCCAATGAAGCTTTTTCAGCATGCGTACAATGGAGCTTATTCCTGAAACACAATTACGAGCTAATTTACTTTCCGAGTCAAGCCTATATTAAGAACCGTTATATATACATCTAAAACTTTATTTCACTTTTTTTTAAATCTTAAAATGCTTACTCATTTTGGGAAAAACCCAATAGAATGATGAATAGATGAGGGAATAAATATTGGTTACCCAATGAAAAATGTAATAACCCAATTAGTAGAAACCTTCAAGTTAAAAGTATTTGCAGTCAGCATCGGACAAGTCCGACACACAGACCGATTTCTGGATCCCTGGTATAAACTCTCCTTTCTACTTTAAAAACAGGGGGCATGGGTGGCCCAGGGGGGCAAGGGTGCATCACTTTGTCGTGCCTGAAAGCTATGGTTGTGGGTTCGATTCCCGGTTCACCCCGATTATGTTTCTAGGTTTGTCAGCACCATACCCTGGCTCGTGGGTTTCCCCAAAGTGCTAAATGTCTGAGACCTGCATCACTTTGGGCTTTCCCCCCACATTAAGACATCAGCTGAAATAACTTGAATGTTGTTGAAAACGGTGTTAAACCCAACTCACTCTCTCACTCACTCTGATAAAACAAACAAAATCAAGGTTAAGACAGCCTATGTAATATTTGTTTTCATTCAGTTCAAGCAAAGAAATCCCCATCTATAATAAGCACTAGGCAGGGTTAAAACTTAACACTGGCCTGCTAGCCTTGGGCTAGTACAAATTCCTGCGGGCTCATTCAAATTTCTTGATTTCCCCATGTTTTAACATTACAAGGTCATTTTATCTTCATGTGGGCTAGTAAGGCCACACTTTTTAAATATCATGTTTGACAGATTTATTCCAGCTTTTCCACACAAGGTCGGTTGAAATAAACAGGAATAAATAGCTACGTCAATCATGTGTTTATTTAAAATTTAGGTCATTCTGCTGTGGAGTTTAAACTGCAGCTGGCATCTTGAATCATTAATTGTGATGTTGACATTGAATTGATATATAACATTTAATTTTTGATATGAGGGTCTGTATTATTAGTGTGAGACATAAAGCTTTAAAAAATAAGAATTAGTCTTAGAATTGTTTTTTGAAAAAATAGTGTGGGTGGTGTCTTTTTTGTTGTTGTTGTTCAAACTTGTATGTAACCAAATAAACAGTTGTTTCCAATCAACCTTGGAAATGGCCTCTCTGAAATGTATTCCTTGATGAATAAAATACTGGAATTCAGTATTTGACTACCGTTGGACATGGAATATTTAAGGATCATATATGAAAAAATAAACGGAAATACAAACGAATCGTGCGACAGATGATCCCAGCTATGCATTTTTGACAATTCTGGAATGTCTGGAATTATGAAGCGGTACGACTATGCTTGTTGTAATAGGCGATTAACGGGATCGGGTGGTGAGGCTCGCTGACTTGGTTGATACATGTCATCTTATCCCAATTGTGTGGATCGATGCGCATGATGTCAATCACTCGATTGTTTATAGACTGACGTCAAATAGCTGGAATATTGCTGAATTTGGCGTTAAACAACAAGCAAACAAATATGAAGCGATGGCCTGAAGTGTGTGAATGATCCAATTTCAAGGAGGGTAACTGTGTATATGAATGTTCCCAGCAATTGTGTTCTTCCTATTGTTATCGCTGGAATGGATTGTTTTCACTTTGTAAGTATTAGAACACGTACATCTTCATTAGTTAATGCATGTCATCAGTCCCAATAGCGCAGATCGGTGCGCATGACGTCAGTCACTGGATTGTCTGGTCCAGACTTGATTATTTAGTCATGTAGCTGGAATATTGCTGAGTGCGGCGTTAAACAAACTGCGAGTAATATACCTAGTTTACTTTCAGGTGATTGGAAAGAGTCAGGTCGCTGTTCCAACCCATCTGTTCAAGGTCATTGTTGCAGAAAATGACAATGACTCACATAAGAAATACGTTGGTGCATTTATTGTCCCAAACAAGCCAATATCGAGTCATAAACTACAGGATTTTGAAGTGAGTGTAGATGATTTGGAAAGAAAAACGGGTGTTACGTTTTTACCCAAACTGGATAAATCGATGCAGTCAAGTTTATGTGGGAAAGATGGATGTGCCATTATGTCCAGTAATGAATTTGAATTGGACTTGACGAGGCGGAGAATCAAGTGGGCAGACAGTGTTCACCAACTAGAGAAGTCATGGACAGAACTTCAGAACAAACGTATAAAACCTGATGAGCATCTAGTTATTCTATACCAGAACAGAAGAAATGAACTGGTACAAAAAGAAAAATTAAAACATGAACTCTGATATAGTTTTCTTGTTACAATGTTTTTCAATTAAACATGGCAACTGCATTGCTCATCAGCTTAACCATTCGTGACCAACTTGTGTTATTCCGGGACCAGCCGAATAGCGACTTGTGCCCCTCTCATGGCTATTTTTGCGACCAGGTTCCGTCTGAGCGCAAACGGGCATACCTAAAACAATTGTCAACTCGTTGCGCAATGGTTCACATACATTTCCCCATATATCATTTATATTTCAGATGCAATTAAAAGCACATCAGGACATGCGAAATTATACAGTATGATTGAACACATTTAACTGTGTCTTGGGTATATTTTTAGATGTAAGACATATGTAAAAACAGAAATTATTTTTGAGGGATTCTTTGATGAAGAACTTGAAATCATTAGCACATTCAGATTGGTTTGTCGTATTTTCGCACATAACATTCACCGATAGGGGGACGAGTCTTCTTGCAGGTTACGGAAAGGGGCGAGGGGCGACGAATGCAGCTTATCGAGTGCCTAGTGCTTTTTCGATTTTTTTCTAAATTATTGTTTTTATATGTTTATTGAAACAATTTGGATTTAGCATTAAACCATTCTTGACTTTGTTTCCGGCCATTACTCTCAAAACTAATGCATATTTTTGCACAAAACTACACATGTGCAATGACCGCATGCTCAACTATTGCCTTTTCATATTTTTCAATTTTCAATTTTTCTTGTGTTTCCATGGAAACAATTTGGACTTTGTCTCAAACAAGCAGGGATTGGTTTCCCTGCCCAAACTCTACAGCTTGTGAATGTTTCTGCATTTTCTTTTCTGGCTATTATTATCCCCCGCCCAATGAAGTCTGTCCGTCCGTCACGTTTCGCTTGCCTTTTGCTATTTAGAAATTTTAGAAAATTTTATTTTTTGAGTTTCCATGGCAACAAGATGGACTTAGGTTCTGTGAGGGTAGGGTTCCTTTCCGGAGCATAACTCATAAACCGTTCAATATTTTTATCCCCCCCGGCATATAATGCGGGGGGATATAGTGATCAGCCAGTCTGTCCGTCCGTCTGTCCGTCCGTACGTAATCATTTCCTTTTCCGGGGCAGAATTCGAAAACCATTCAGTGTATTTGATCGAAACTTGGCAAAGTTATCACGCACTTACTGAAGTGGTGCCTTTTGATATTTTGGGATTTTTCTAATTTATATTTTTTAAAATTTTTATGGAATGAAGTTGGACATAGACTCAATTGGGGATGGGGTTCGTTTCCGGGGCAGAATTCGAAAACCATTCAGTGTATTTGATCGAAACTTGGCAAAGCTATCAGGCACATACTGAAGTGATGCCTTTTGATAGTTATTTTTTTACGAATTTTTATTTTTTACAATTTTTATGGAAAGAAGTTGGACCTAGACTCTATTGGGGAACGGGGTCGTTTCCGGGCCAGAATTCGAAAACCATTCAGTGGGTAAACAATGTATGCTTCTAAAAGAACATTCAACTGTTGACTCATTACATACAGAATTGCACATTTACTAGTGGTTACTTTACAGACAGCTGCCGGGGGGATATGTCATCTTTCTGATGACTCTTGTTTCATGAAACTGTGCAGGTCTGTCAGGTACATGCTGAACTGGTGCCTTTTGCTATTTAGAAATTTTAGAAATTTTTATTCTTTCGGTTTCCATGGCAACAAGATGGACTTGGGTTCTGTGAGGGTAGGGTTCGTTTCCAGAGCATAACTCATAAACCGTTCAATATTTTTTCATGAAAGGTCTGTCAGGTACATGCTGAACTGGTGCCTTTTACTATTTAGAAATTTTAGAAATTTATATTTTTTTCATTTTTCCATGGCAACAAGTTGAACTTTTAGAAATTAATGAATTCTTCTTTGAAATGCCAAAAAATTCAACTTGATACCCATTTAACCTGTTTAAGGAATCTTATAAGTCATAATAAAGTTTTTTTGTGTGCCTACATTTTGTGTTTGAGATGCATTGTGTTGCACATAGACTGGCCTTGACATGTGTTGATGTCGCGAAATCAGTGAAGGAGGTCTCGTACTATGAGAGTATATTGAACACTATTTGCTCCTTTTTCAACCGTTTGCCAAAGTGCTTATCAAACCTCCAGATGTGGCAGGATCTACTGGACGAACCTCAAGTTAGACCCGTGGATCGATGCTCATGATATCAATCACTGGATTGTCTGGTCCAGACTCGATTATTTACAGACCGCCGTCATATAGCTGGAATATTGCTGAGTGCGGCGTTAAACAACAAACCAACCAACAACCAACTCAAGTTAGACCATCGGAGGTGCATCGTGTGAGATGGCTGTCAATAAGAGCCATAGACAACTGTGCAAAAGCTTTGCCTGCCCTTATTGCCATGCTTGAGGACAACAGTGACACGGACATGATGGCAGACTCTTTGCTGCGACAATTGACTACTTACAAATTAAGATTTTTGACAGCTTTCCTACAGGACGTTTTTGGTATGATAGGGACTGTAAGTAGGGCTTTACAGACACGTGACTTGACTTACGGTGACAAGAGGAGGACTATCGACGCTTTTCTAGATGGACTTAAGGGACAGTACCTGACCGAAACACCGACATATGGACCGAAGTTACGAGAATTTCTCGCAAAGAATGACGATTCTGACGAGTTTGAAAGTGTCACAATGACAAGATCACATCATGACAGAACACTGACTGATAGGGCTAGGGACTGCGTACAAGTTTTAGTTGACAATGTAATGGACGGGTTCCCCGACAACGAACTATACAGTACATTTGGTGCTCTTGACCAAACTGGTCACCCTGACAACACACGTGACTTGGCAAGTTATGGGGACGAGAGTATAGCGACTTTAGGATGCCATTACGGTAGCTGAAGACAAGGACATACACCTGTTGACAAAGACGCTCTGGAGAGAGAATGGGGGATATTTCGGCCTTTGGTGTACAACAATTACAGACAACTGACATATGGACAGATGTTAGTTACTGCCTATGCTTCTAAATTGACGGAACAATTCCCCAATGTAGTGAAACTAATGGAAATCGGACGCATTTTGCCCGTATCGAGCGTAGAGTGGGAGCGAGGTTTTTCTAAACAAAACCTCATCGAGACTTGACTTAGATGCTCTTTGACGATGGAAACATTGGACAGACTCGCGAATTTCAATTTGCGGTCCAAGACTGAAGGACTTTGACCCTAGATTGACGCTACGACGATGGAAGGGCAAACGAAACAGACATTTGTACAGCGACAACGTATCGATAGCCAAGATATTGAAACCCACCTGTCGATAGATGATGCGGGAAAAGTATGGCATTATTATTAATACTTAAATTCATGCATGTAAATAAAACTACAAACAACATGTATATCAGTGTTTTTATTGGTTATATTATGAATACGTGTAACTTTTGAAAGGTCTTACTAAAATACGCTAGGGGGCGTGGCCTTAATGCAAATGTCCGATTGGGATTTTAAGTTTTCCGGACCCCTAGTTTGAGGTATTTCCCATAGTAGGGGAAACTGTGCATGCCTTCTACCAAGTTGTCCGTATGTGCCTCAATAATGGTTGAGGGTAACTTTCGTTTAATGACTTCATTATCAAATCCATCATCCCTACTTCTGCATTGATTATGACAGAGATGAGTGTGCGATAAGATGGCATACTTCTCTATGGAACTTTTTACAGTTTTCAGCACATATTGATATGAAGACTTTTGTGCTGTAGAGTTTTAACATTCACATTTATAATATTGTCTTGTTTTATTTTTCACTTTATCATATCACATGGTATGACCAAATTGTTAAAAAGCCACAACATAAAATGTGTGTGGCATGCATGGCACCCTGATTCCTCGCAGTGAGTGGCGGTAACATGACTTGTAATCTCCCATCCTAATGAATTCAGTAGTAAATGTAGTAACTGGTTTTGACAGTTTGTACTTCCATCATGTTTTTTGTGGAGAAGGTTTCAACTTCATAGAAATTGTGTTTTGCAGCATTTAATTTGTTTCTTCAGGATATTTTGCATTTACATCAAGTAGATGCTCCCCTGCTGCCTTTTACACCTTACAAAATTTTGAATATTTTCAAATGTATGTGTTTGTGTGATCAAATTTCACTATTGTTGACATAATATACACTTCATATGCTGGGCTGGAGACTTGGCCACATTAGTGGCAAAATCTTCTCTTTTTTTTTTACAATTTCCATGACAAGTTCCACCTCGGTTAAAAAAGGTTAGGGTTTGTTTAGATTTAATTATGTCATAAATTCTGCAACAGGGGCAGGGGATATAGCCACGTTTGTGGCAAACTCTTGTTAGTATTGTTTTTCGGATATGCAAACACATTTACAGTAACAACTTGAACTAATGAGGGGGTGGGACATGTTTTAGAGTAAAAACACATTCCTGTTATATTATTTGAACGTACATGTATGACAAGCCACAGTGATCTGCTTTCAAAGAGTAGCATATGCTACATTGAATTCCGGACCTGTGGTTAGTCACGATATATTGTTTAATGACAAACATTATCTAGAATTCCATAGTTACACTACAAGTCACTTATGTTCACATTCCTTCTGACCTTTATATGTTTGAATAAAGATTAAACTTCAGTCAACTTCAGTGTATGCATGACCAGATCGTTTCAAACGTGTATCTAAATACATTTTGCCAGGGCTTCGATCAAACAATTCCCAATCGGACATTTTGTACTCAATTCTTGTGACCTACAGCGGGTACCTGGGTAGGTTCGGGTAATGGGGGGGTGGGTACCTGGGTAGTAAATTTAGACTCGTCCCAGCCCTATTTGGTTCATGACCTTAAGGTGCCGCACTGAAGTGGCAAGGTTTTGAGCGACCTTTACTGAAGGTCAAATTCACCGGAATGGTAATCCTTTAGGTGGTTCGGCCTCTTGGTATACCTGACCCATCTTCCCGAGGCAAGAGAGTTAACTGACTTTAAAAATCCAGTTTCCACCCTTGCCGAACTAGGCTGGAATTACTGGGCTCGATCATAGCGCCACCAGTGGTTATGACCAGTTATGTCCCTTCTTAGCCTCT